TTCGCGTTCGTCGGATTTTGATATTGCCAAAAATGACTAAAAAACAAGATCAACGAATTTGCATCAAATTTTGCTTTCAACTCGGAAAAACGAGTTCGGAAACTATTGAAATGATGCAAAAGGCCTTCGGAAGCGAGTGTATAAGCAAAACACGAATAAAAGGGTGGTATAAACGGTTCAAGGATCGTCGCACTTCTGTCGATACTGATTCTCGTTCCGGCAGACCTTCGACGACAAAAACCGCAGATAATATCGAGCGGGTTCGACTTGCAATCGAACAAGATCGTCGTATGACTGTGCGAGAACTAGAAGAAGACCTTTGGATATCAAACACTATCATTTCAGAATTTTTAACCGAAAATCTAGGAATGAAACGCGTGTGTGCGAAAATCATCCCAAAATTGCTCACAGCAGTCAGAAGAACATTCGCTTAGAAATCGCTCTGGACAATCTAGAAATGGTCAATAATGATGATAATGTTCTTAGAAAAGCTATTACAAGTGATGAATCATGGGTTTATGGTTATGATATGGAAACCAAAGCTCAATCATCCCAATGGAAGTTGCCGCATGAGCCAAGACCGAAAAAAGCGCGCCACATTCGGTTGAATGTGAAGGTTTTGCTCAAAGCTTTCTTCGATTACTGGGGCGTGGTGTATCATTCGTCCTTGTCACAGGGTAGTACGGTCAATAAGGAATATTACCTACAAGTTATGCACAATTTGCGCTAAGCAATCCACCAGAAACGTCCGCATTTGTGGAAGAACAAAAACTGACATTTGCACCATGATAACGCCCCTGCTCACATACCGTTGTTTGTGCGCGAATATTTGGCCAAAAGCAAAACAATAATGGTGCCGGAGCCACCGTATTCCTCAGTCCTGGCTCTCTGTGACTTTTTTCTGTTCCCAAAATTGAAGAGACCCATGAAAGGATGACGTTACGCCACAATTTAGGAGATAAATATGGCATCGAATGAGGAGCTGAACAAGATCACAAAAAATGTTTTTTTTAAGTGCTTCGAGGATTAAAAAAACATTGGGACAAGTGCATTATATCTGAGAGGGATTACTTTGAAGGAAATAAAATAGATATTCATGAATAAATAAATAATTTTTGAAAACATACAAAATTCGCGATACTTTTTTAAAACAGACCTCGTATGTGCTAAATACTACAATATTCATTAATACCAATTAAAATCAACATGTTTACATGTTTAGTTTATAAGCTATATTAATAATTTATATTATAACGTTGAAAATAGTCATTTAAAAAATATATATATCATTTCTAATAATTCGCCGTTGGTAAATGCTGATTATCTGTTGCTTTATGAGTATAAGCTCTATTATAAAATTATTTAAAAGTGTAATTTGCACATGTAAATCTCATTTTATATTATCCATGACTAATCAACTAATGGAAGCATACAAGAGAGTAGCTAAAAGTTCTATGGAGACTGCTATCGAAAAAGAAACTGCTGCTTTACCAATGGAAAAAAAGAGTGTTTTCGGTGATGGTACTTGGCAAAAAAAGGTTTTTTATTTCTTCAAGGAGTTACAAGTTTGATTGTAACAGAAACTGGTGAATTGGTGGCTACATGACTAAAAAATAGTTATTACAGAAGATATAATAAGTAGAAAAGTCAGATGAGAAGTATGAAGTGATATGAAGAATGATATGAAGAGCGTCAAAATACTTGTCCAGCGAATCATACAGGTTATGCAGGTCGAATGGAAGTAGATAGTATCATAGAAATTCTTGAAGAGTTGGACAAAAAAAGTGTTATGTTATGTTATTATATTAGTGATGGAGATAGCAAAGTTATTTCAGTTATATTAACTAGAAATTTGTATGGAGATAATTGACAGTGCGTTGGCCATGTGCAAAAAAGGATGGGCACTCGACGGAGGAACTTTAAGACAAGTTTAGGAAGTAATAAACTATTTGGCCGAAAAAGTATCTGCGGGCAGACTTACTGCACAAGTGACAGACCAACTCATTAAATATTACGGAAATTCTGTATGTACTTATAATTTATTATCGGTGCAAGAAATGAAAAATGCGATCTGGGCAACATTCTACCACAAAAGTTCAACAGATGAAAATCCATAGCATCAGTTTTGCCCTGAAGGATAAGAAAATTAGTATTCATAATAGAAAGCTGAGGTCCGAAGAACTGAAGACAGTTATAAGCATAAAAAAATCGGATTCCCTAGTACAGCAATGGATTCTATCGAAAATGTTTTTGAAGATTTGACATCTGATGATTTATCGGAAAAATGCTCGGGACGCTTTATCCAGAATAGAAACGAAAGTTTGAATTACTATATCTGGAATATTGCAGGCATCATTCGGTGGCCTGACGGTTTTCAAAACTGATATAGATAAAGTTGTAGTCATGTTCAATGATGGAAGAATGGAATTTCATAAAATTATGGAAGAGTTCGATATCCATCCTGGAAAAGATGCACTGAACTGGGTGAGAATTAACAGTGACCAGAGACCACTTGTTGCAGAAAGACAAGCATAAAAAAGTACCAAGAAGACTCGCCAAGCACTCAGAAGTTTATAACTAGGAGTAGAAAAGGAAGGAGGAAGAAGGCTCTTATGCTACTGTAACTTACTAAAGTGAATAAACTATGAAAAATACAACACATGTACAATGTCTAACATCCTCAAATAATTTTCTTCAAAAAAACTTTCTCACAAAACTTTCTTTCACTTCACCTCTATATACACTTCTATACGCACAATAAAATGGATGTTTCTGCAAAGATTACACAATTTTAATGACTAGAATTCATCAATAATTAATTTAATTTACAGCCATGTACAGCCATGTGTTTACTTTTAGACAACGGACTAGTTGGCTATGTACACAGTAGCAGATTACACTACTACGTAGTCATATGTAGGTCGATCAGAAGTCAGATGGGGCGACAAGCAATCAGATATTCAGTACTGATTTTATGACTAGTGACAGGTAAATGTTTTTAATTATATATAAGTTTCAACATTTTTATAAAGTGATAAACAGGTCAATAGTTCTTTACAGAAGTATATCTTTATTTATGAGTCTTTGAAAAATTTCTTGTGTTGTTTTGGCCAGTTTTGGAGAAAACTTTATATCGAAGTTAAATTTTTATAAGATTTAGATTCAGTGATTTAACAACTGGTTATGTGGGTGAAAACTTTAAATTGAAATAAAGTCATTAGTAATTTTCAAGAAAGTTGGAACCCTAACTACAAGTTTTGAGCTGTGTTTTGGATGAGTACATTAATTTGAAAAATGATAAAGACGCTTATCAACATATCTGAATCCACTTCAGTGAATCTGATTTGGAATTGCGTGAGTAGGAGTTAAAATAACAATCTATTTATAATAAAAAATCTCAAAATCATGAAAAAATGGTTATTTTGTGATTTTTTCAAAGTGCATAATTATTTTTTCAGAAAAGTGTTACACTTAATTATATTCGATGCAAAAAAAGAGTAGATTTCCTTCAACCAAAGTGGTGAAAGCCTTATAGTTTTTTTTGAGTCTACGGCAAACGGTATTTCGATGATTTGGACTCATATAGCTACTCTAGCTCTCAAAAATAAAAAGTGGTTTATAAACCTTACTTTAAGGTTGCTATTGTTTAATTTTTTAGTAGGTGATATGTTACAGGTTTAGTTCTCGAAATACGATGAATAGTAAAAATTTCTGTCAATTTCACGTAATTCATCAATGATTAAATGAACTTCATTAACATGACTAGAATTACCGGTGGTTTGTCGGCGATAAGCAATCTTAATCGATCAACGACCTCATTTGGATCATCCCAATATACATAATCAAATAATGATCCTTTTCTTGCTATTTTATAGTTAGGAAAAAGACCTCTTCCATCAATAGTCAATTTTCGCTTCTTAGCTATGCTATTTGAGGGATCGCTATTCCATCAAGTCAATCAAGTGAACTGGCGATTTTGCTAGCTTAAGCCTTTTTTTTCTTATACATGGAGTGGTGTCGACCAAGATGTTCGGGAATACCGGCTGTGAATCTTGATCATAGTTATTTAAACAATATAGATACGAGACAACTTCATGAAAATAAAATTTTTTTGTAGTGTCATCGGATTTTCATCACTGCAATCGACTGAACTGGTGCATTTTTGCTTAATTTTTTTTCATTATTTTTAACTTTTATGATTTAACAATAGCTAGACCCCTTATTATTTTTCCTAAATTTAATTGGATAAAACAAAGAAACGGCTACATAGATTTAATTAAAATTATGGGAGTTCCTGTAGGTATATTTATCTGTAAAAGGAATTTTAACATTGCTACTTTTCGCAGTACTGTTAATTTAACACACGTTTTTTCAAAAACCTATCAAAAGTCCTTTTTCTTATGTTTTTAAAGTTGTACAAAGTATGGAAAATATATTTCATTAAAACATGAATTTTGGTTCGGATTAATTGAGGTTTTGAAATCCATCTTCAATTTTTGGGCAATCATTTGGTTCGGAAATATCGATAATTAAAGATAAAATGATCCTTTTTCATTTTTTTATTCAAACTCCGATATTTCTGAGACAAGCTCGAAGCGAGCTCTACAAACTCCCAAATTTAAGGTGAATAAACAGGTTATCCAGTCTATGCAAGCATCGAGATAAAAAAAAATTTTCCATGTGGTGGACTAAAAAAAAAAGAAAAGAAAATTTCAAGAGATTTTTTTCTCGCGATATTTATTAGAATTGCGCAAAGTCAAACTTTTTGACTTTACAATTCAAAAACTAGAGACTTTAAGTTTTACTTTGATTTTTTTAATTTTTCATATGACTGTTACGTCTTGGGCGTTAGCTATTCGTTAAGCCTAACATTGAAGACGTACCAATATTACGAACCAATTTTTTTCTTGCTCTATTATCCTATACAATCTATAACTTATAGTTATTATTTTGAAGAAAGTTTTACATTTGATGTTGACTTTTTATTCATAGAATATTACCTTAATAAGTTTACACTCTCTTGCGTCTTGAAATGCAGGACATTGTTCTTGATATCGTTCTATGGCATGCTGAGCATTTAATATATCAATACATAAATGGCATAGAGCTGCTCTTAAAAAGTATTCTTTTGCACTATATTTTAACAATGAACTTTCTAAAGATGATACTGCTACCTGAAAAATAAAAAAATTTTTTTTTCATGATTATGCAAATTTTTTCAGAAAATTAAATACATTACCACAGATATTTTTGTATTGTGTAAATATTTTGGTATCTGATGTAATCATAAAATATAATTTAATAAATTTTCAGTAGAATATAAGATACCTACAGAGGGATATAATAAACCAGTTGGTGTGCTTTTTTGTTACGTAACTAATAACATGGTAACACAATAAAAGAAAGTAAAAAAAAATTTCAACAAACTACGAAGTCTGTCCGGAAAGTATCGGGCCTACCTTTATATTTTCGTGCTAGCGTTATTCTTTATCATCTGGTGGGTGGCATCCTTCAAAGTATTCCCCACTTGATTGAATAACACGGTTCCATCGATGTTTCCACTTTTCAAACCAGTCCTGGAACTCACTTTTAGGGATAACCTTAAGTACACTCGTCGCATTGTTTTCAACCGTTGTTATGTCATCGAATCGGTGTCCTTTGAGTGTTTTTTTTAGTTTTGGAAACAGCCAAAAGTTACAAGGGGCTATGTTGGGACTGTATGGAGGTTATCGAAGCAATGCGATATTGTGTTTGTTCAAAAACTGCTGCACAAAATTGGATGAATGCGCTGGCGCATTATCGTGATGGAGAAGCCAGTCACCACTTTACCAAAAGTGCCGCCGTTTTCTTCTTACTGCATCACGCAAACGTTTTAAAATTTGAACGTAGTATTCTTTATTGATTGCCTGACCTGTTGGTGCATATTCGTGATGTACAACACCTTCACAATTGAAAAAAACAATCAACATTGACTTGATATTGCTCCGACTTTGACGTGCTTTTTTTGGTCTTGGCGATTCAGAATGCTTCCACTGTGAAGATTGTTGTTTTGTTTCAGGATCATAACCATAAACCCATGATTCATCACCTGTAATAACTTTTCTAAGCACACTATCATCATTATTGACCATTTCCAGATTGTCCAGAGCGATTTCTAAGCGAATGTTCTTTTGACTGCTGTGAGCAATTTTGGGATGAATTTCGCACACACGCGTTTCATTCCTAGATTTTCGGTTAAAAATTCTGAAATGATAGTGTTTGATATCCAAAGGTCTTCTTATAGTTCTCGCACAGTCATACGACGATCTTGTTCGATTGCAAGTCGCACCCGCTCAATATTATCTGCGGTTTTTGTCGTCGAAGGTCACTCGGAACGAGAATCAGTATCGACAGAAGTGTGACGATCCTTGAACCGTTTATACCATTCTTTTATTCGTGTTTTGCTCATACACTCGCTTTCGAAGGCCTTTTGCATCATTTCAATAGTTTCCGAACTCGATTTTCCGAGTTGAAAGCAAAATTTGATGCAAATTCGTTGATCTTGTTTTTTAGTCATTTTTGGCAATATCAAAATCCGACGAACGCGAAAAAGGCACTGTAAACAAAGACACGCTGTGCATGAACTATACGTCCGGCAGGTGTCAGTAAGTAACCAATAGATTCGTGAGGCTTTACTGTTGTTACTTTTACTGCGAAGATATAAACGTAGGCCCGATACTTTCTGGACAGACCTCGTATTTTATTGACATTGGATCTTATTAAACATAATTTTGATGAGTTCTGTATTTGGAAATTATTTAGTTAAGTAGATCATATCACAGAGAAAGACTAATTATAAAATACGATTTGATTCTTCTAAAAGCTAAAATCATATATTAACTTGAAACAGAAGAATTGAAAGTAAAGTGATCATCTGCTTTATTTTATTGACCATGTTAGTAGATAAAAAAGTTGTATATATTACATATTAAAACAATTTAATTATCTATAATTTCGAAGTGATTAATCTAAATTTTGTTAAATCAAACTTTAGCAATAATGTCAATACTTGTCTTCACCAAGTACTATTAAATTTATTATTAACGTTAATATCATATAAAGATAATAGATATTGAGTGCACTCACAAGGAAAGTACCCCAGGTGTCCCTCTCCGACTTCAATAATACTAAGATATGTTATAATGCATCAAAAAATAAAAGATACGTATTTTTTTTATCAGCAGATATGCACTTTAAGGGGGTGACAACCACCCCTGAAAGTTACCCTCAAAATCACATTTTTTTTCAATATCTTCGGTTCTATTCAACATTTATCAATAAAACAAAATGGACAAGAATTGCCATGAAAATTGCAACAATAGCATATAAGTTTCGATGATAAGGGTTGCAACCCTTAGATTTAATAGGGGTAAAACTGTTTTCCTAGTATTTTTTTCGTGTAAAATTTTACAGAACTGTTACAAAAATATAAAAAAATGTTTTTCAAATACAAAATGACAAAAAAAAGTTCACGTGTTTCGATGTTTTCACATAAACTTTTGTTACGGGGGTGACCTACCCCTAAACTCTATTATAAAGAAATGTGGGTAAATAATACCATAAACGAATCCTCGATTTTGATAAAATTGTGGTATGTTACAGAGCACTGAAAAGTATGGAATACGTATCTTTAATCAGCTAATATTCAATTAATTTTCAATAACTTTTATGAACTTTCACAATTAGTTTTATTCATTCTTTAAATAATGAACAATAATGATAGTCTTCAAGAAAGTATTAAGATTTTTTACACTAAGCACAGCGAACTATTGCAATATTACTGCAGCCTTCAATCTCGCAATGCGTTTTGCAAGAATCGCCAAAGCTGAAGTCGACAGGGTTCTCAAATTTTCCAGGGTTACATCAAGGTAACCACTTTTGTACCAAGAATATTTAATAAGATTTTTTCATCTTGGGGATGAAAATTGGTTATGGATTAGAGATTGCAATTGAATAATATTATTACGTTTATACAATTGCATATCATAATCCATTAAAATTACTTTGTCTGAAAAATGTCTAACATAATTTTTCCCAATGCGAAAGCCAAATACGTCTAAAAGTTGAATTTTTCCTGTAATTCCTGTAGGAATTTTTTTTATATTTACTTCTTTATTAACAGGTGTAACTTCTTCTACTATTTTAGGACAATGCACACTCCAAAAATCTAATAATAATATACTTTTAGGACTAACTTTCGGAAAATATATTTTTTGTAACCCAATTTTAAAATGATCTGAAAAAAATCATGTTTTTTAATGTTGTTGTATAGTTTGCGGGTATTCTCGTAAAAATTTTACTTTCGGTAAATAAATATTGATCAATACTTGAAGTAAGTTTTCCTGATTTTTATGCTTCAACATGTACATTTTTAGGTTGAAATAAATTAGATTCAACAACTGGTCCAAACTGGCCACTTTTTTCTTTTAAAACTAGGAAAAGTGGTGAAAGTAATTCTCCATCACCTGATATTAGAGGCTGTATTGTAAAACTATGTGTTGTAGACGAAACTGATTGTATAACACACGGCACCTGTTTTTCTCCTTCAACAGCTAATGTTCTACCAGAATGTATCACTAACTGGAATCCGATTTGATCAGAGTTGAATACATTTTCCATTCCTACCTCTTCTGCATATTGTTTAACATCAGTTACAAATTTATTTGCATGTTTTGTTAACTCTGCGGCACTTTTGAAAGTTTTTTTGGTTACGAATTTCTTAATTTTTCTTGATACTACTCTGTATGTTTTTTTATAACGATTAAGCCAGTGATTCGAAGCTTTAAGTTTAATATCTTCATAACCTACCTTCTTTTAAGCTCGTAATGCCCATTTACGTAAGTTTGAATCGTGGACGACCAATCCCGCTTCAATTGCAGCTTTAAAGTTTTCCTATGTAAATTGAAATTTTTTAGAAACTGTGTTTCTATATGTCCCTCTTTTAATTAAAGCATGAGCCCAACATCGCAACTGCCTTATAGAACTTATTTTCATAAACTTTTGTTTCACTGATTCACTCAAATTTTTTTTTGTTTACTGCTTCTCCAGTATTCCACTGCTTTTAATTTATAATCATATGATATATCTTTTTCATCTTTAGTACATTCATATGTTGGTGAAAAAGGACGATCTGGAAAGTGATGCAAGATTTCATCTTCAACAATTTCAGCTTACATATCTTTAAATGGTTCTTGGAAATCTAACGTTTCATCTGTTATTATTTCCACTTCATTAAAATCATTCATTGTGTCTAATAAAAACATTTCGAATTTATTTGCGACCTCAATTTCTTTAAAGTTAACTTGACTTTCGGGAATATTTAAAGATTGAAAAGCTGTAAGAACAACATTGATCACGTTTATTGGATTTATTTTCATATTGAATCCTATAAAATTAATTAATTACTTCTAATAAAATTAAAATTAAAGTCTATTTTTAAATAAATAACTATGAGTATTCAAATATAATATATATAATCAAATATGAATTACATCTAAAAAAAAAATTTGTAATTAAATTGTTAAATTTATGTATATATTTATTAGACTTACCTTTATAGTAATAATAAAAATGAAATCACCAGTTTAAATTTTATATACGACAATTATCTTCTAATAACAACACAAAATAAGTTTTTCAAAAAATGTATTTAAAAGAAATATTAAAAATGATTAAAACATTTAAATCTACCAGCACGTTTTTAAAACGTATAAAATATTAAAAATATCATCGAAGTAATTTATTTGATAATATACGACGAAGCAATAAACATTAAAAATAAAACGAAGAGAAAGATAAGATAAACTTTATGTACATACTGACTACATTATCAATTCTCAAGATAAGACACGATAGCAAAAATATGTAGATTGAACCAATATATTATGGTTATTTTGCACAGTAAACATTTTTAAAACTATTCTGCTTTATATATTATATTATTAACATAAGCTGACACACATACACACACACACATTATTACAATTACTATATGTACATAATTATTATAAATTACAAAATTTATCATCATCATCATCATCATCATTATTATTGGCCAATTCCATCTCAGATCATGCAGAGCTCCCCACACACCTGTCACCAAGCTACTCCAAAGTATTTTTTTATTGTTCTAGGT